CAATGCGGATTAAATGATCATGATCTGATATTGGATTGTCTTGGCCTAATGGAAATCAACTTTGTGCAACTGTGTATGAATCTGGAGCTTGACTGTGCTAACTGTGAGGCTTGAGCCTTTATTATTTATTCATGTGTGTTAGTTCCTGGTGTGACATTGATCTTAGTTTTGTCTTGAGACTTTTAGTAGTGTGTCATGGTACATTGCACATGCACGATGAGGAGGACGAAGGCCATGTTCATTAGGTAGCCTCCAGATGAATTTAGAAACGTTTGTCCCCTTCTTGCTTACCCATGTTGTATCCTTGTCCATGTTTTTCATCTAAGTCACAAAATTAACCTATCGGCCCCAATTAGTAACTTATCCCAAGTCTATCTTGGGGGAGCCATCTATCTTGGTATTCACTATGGTTTGTGATGATGTTTTGGAGAAGATTAATTTGAAGCTTGAAGGTTCTTGAATTTTTTGCTATATGATATATTTTTTAAGCTCTTATAGTTTGAAAAAAAATGAGAAAAAGAAAAGAAAAAAAAAATAAATTTCAGCTTCTTGAAGGATAAATATAAGAGCTTCAAAAATAAGAATAGTGTGATGAATTGATTATGTAGGGTGAATAAGGTGGCAGTTGCTCTTAATTCAAGTTGTGTTTGGAGTGTGTATTCTTGTGAATTAGTTCGATGGGATTTTGATTTGTATTGTTCATTTTTGATGGCTTCCCTGAGGGACTATAATTTGCCTACATTTTCCAAATTTTTCCTACCCATTTTCACCCGGCCTACATTACAAGCTTGAAAAAAAAAGACCTTCTGACCTTCGTGCATAGTATTGTGTTCATGTGAAACGAATCTTTTGTCAAAATGCTGGAGTATGTGTCACATTTCGAGTCGACTTTTGACTAGGTTGAGCGGCATTATTACCCTCTAAACACACGAGTGTTGTGAGAATGGGGGGTTGTTATTATTAGTGGGGATGGAGAGAGATCGGGCTCATTTTTAGCTCGCCACATAAAATTGTGCGGAGTGACCACTAAGTGAGATATTCTAGTCATCGATTCCTTATGTGTACATGGTTGACTCTGCTTGATGGCTATTCAGGTTGATTGATAAACTGAATGAGTTGATTGGTTGGCTAAGATGCTTGTGTGTCTAATCTCGACTTCGAGTATGATTTCTCAAATGTATTATGGGGTGAAGTATGTTTATTTGGTTGTTTCTAGTCATTGATTGTCTTGCTTGAGGGCAAGCAAGAAGCTAGCTTGGGGGAATTTGATGCAGACATTCTATACCATATTTTACCCTCGATTTATAGCTATTTTTGTATGATTTCTAAGCTCTACGGAGCTATTTCTCGCTAATATCCTTCTTCTAGTGTGGCTTGGTCTATTTGATTGATTTTTGTAGGCATATGAAGACTTTCGGATGAAATGGAGCATTTGGAGTGATTATGAGCATGCCACGAAATTTTGAGGTGGATTGGAGAGCTTTATAAAGAGATTTGCAAGTCATGAGAAGCGTATTGGAGTGTTAGATGATGATTGATGATAATGCTACATGGCCGTGTACCCTTAACTACACGGTCATGCGAAGGTTCCAAGTTCGAGTGTTTGCTACACGGTCGTGTACCACGAGCTACACGGTCGTGTGATTCCATCTCCGTATGAAGTCCGCCTACACGCTCATGTACCTCTCAGCTACACGACCGTGTACGTATATGATGAAATTTGAAGATCAAGTATGGTCAGCTACACGGCCGTGTACCCATCAGCACACGGCCGTGTACGTGTGCGCGGGAGATTTATTTTATTTATTATTTTATGTTTATTTTTAGGAAAGTATAAATAGGGGTTTTAACCCTATTTTAAAACATCTAATTTTTATTATAGCTTTTTCCATTCTACGTTGTTTTGTGAGAGAACACATAGAACTCCATTGAAGCATTCATCTTAATTCAATATCAAGTATTTCACTTTCAACATTAATCTCTTTAATTTATTATTGTTATTATGTTTTCTTTAATTATTTGTCTTGTTATTTCTATTATCATGTGTGAGTAGTTTCATAATCTGGGGTTAGGTTGAACCCTAATATGGATTGATGTGTTATTTGATTCCCAATTCCCAATTTAATTAATTTGTAATTCCTCTTTGTTAGGGTTGGTTTTATTATCAATGATTAACTAGAAATAGTATTGTTGAATGTGATTAGGTTTACAACGAAAGTTGATTCTTAATTGATTTTAGAACCCTAATTAAAAGTAAGAGCTTTTATGCATGAAAATAGCTAATTGTTCTTGCTAGGACTTATAGGATGTCGTTCTCAATGTCTTTAATATGTATGATTCCATGAAAATAGGTATGATTGCATGTTAGGGAAGCTATTAGTTGATCGAAAGAAACTCTTAGTATTGTTTTAGGGAGCATCTGTCCTGTGGAATGTTTATTGATTTAATTGAGGGAAAAGGATTGTTCTATTACATTGATTCATGTTAGTGGGGATACTTAATCTTAGATGTTTTTAGTTTTTGATTAATTCCATAGTATTATTATTCATTGCTTTTTAGTTGATATTGTTCTTAGTTATTAATTCTCACTTATTTGATTTGGTTACTTGCTTAGTAGTTACTTGAGTCTAATTAATTAGTTGAACTATAGTCTCTTGGGATCCGACCCTTACTTGCCCGTCTACATAGTAGTGGTCTTGTTAGGTTATTTTTGTTAGGTACGCGACACGCCTATCAGAGGTTTTACTTCCAGTTGGGCCCTGGATGGTTTCCTCGTAAAATCCGCTTTGCATTGTCTAAGTTCCTAACAGCAATCAGTTTTATATTCCGCGAAAAGTAGGCACTAGGAACATACTACAATTCACCCCCCTCTTATTGTAGTATATTATCCGAAATAACAAGTTAGGCCCTATTAAGTTCACCTTAAAATTAATAATAATAAAAATAATAAAATGAAGGTGGTTGGAATGATGATGAATTTAGATGAAAAAGGAATAATTGGTGGAAATGGTTAAGTTAATCAATGTTAGTGTTTAAGTTAATAAGATAAAATCAATAGTTTAATTAGGGTTTTTAGAAAAAAAGTAAGGGTAATTTTATAAAATCACATTAAAAAAAACTTATTACAAAAGGAAAGAAAAAATTGTTGCGAGTAATGTGAACCAGCCATATTTGGCAAATGTTGCGCATAATAAAAAAACGGAGATAATATTAACAATTTTGGCCAAACACATACATGACCTTCTTTACATAATCAAAGATAAATATGTAATTTTGAATTTCCCTTAGAAATTCCATGTTATACTAATGTGGAATGGAGTATGCATGTGGTCCGAAAAGGTGGGTGAACCAAGCCTTTGGTGTTAAAAGCTCTTCAGTTTATCTTGTCCTAATATTAGAGTTATCTATGTTAATTAATTATTAGAAGTTTAGAACTTATTATATTTTCCAAATATTATTTGATCCTTCATTAATTAGACTCGAAGTATCAAGTTAAAATAAGTGAAAATGAGATGACAAAAAATAAACTCTAAAAAAACAAATACACTTTAATTTCCTTAACAATACACAAATTATCCTTGCTTTATGAGGTTATTCTAACTTGCTAATTATTTCGCTAGGACACACTTTGTTTTGGCTGGTTAAATTATTCAAGATTTAGCCATTGCTCTAAGGTATGAAAAGAGAGAGAAAGAATAAGTTTGAAGAGAGAGCCTATGTTGATGTTTAAAGGTTTTGATGATGAGGAACTTAAGTTACAGCAAACTCATCTCATAAAGACTTTTCAAGTGTTTGTTTAGCTTAGGTGAAATTGATCTTGGAGATGGAAGAAGTAACTGATGCTGAGAAGACTTGAAGGAGTTCTTTATCAAGAAAGTTATTCAAAATAGAAGAAGAGTTCCCTAACAGGAATTGAGTTCCCTCACAGGAACGTTCCTTCATAGGAACTTGAAGATTGCTGACTAAGATCTTTGGAGGAACTTAGTAAGCGTGGAGCCCAAGTAAACCTACCAGAACAAGAGTGCAGCGCAGCAATGTTTTAGTTAAGATTTTATCTTCTAGATTCATTGTTAAATATGTTAAGTAGGATATGCATGAAATTTATTAGAAGCGTGACAATTAGCTTGGCAAATAAATTAAATCGGAAAAGATAAAAGATAGAAATCGAAAAAGATTTTCTTTAAATATTTATCTCTTAAAATCAGTTTGTTAAAAAGATATTATGCTTTTTAACTCAATCTTATTTTCTGAAAAGATTTTCTTCAAAGGATTTACTTAAAAACTGTGTTTTAAGATAAGTTAAGTTTTACTTATTTATCTTTATGAAAACCTACTTTCTATACAAGTAATACTTGTATAAATAGTAGAGAATAATAGGAGTTTAGGTTTTTTTTGTGAGTTTTATACGTGAAGAATTTACAGAGCTATAATTGTGTAAGTTTGCCAAGCTTATCATCTTGTCATATTAGTTTCGGGTTTCATGCATAGCTTGCCTATAATATACTAGGTGTTAATTCTTGTATTTGGTTTTGGGATTATTTGGGTGAGAGTATTTTTATCATTGCATACAGAGAGAGCTTCTGGTGAGAAGGGGAAAGATTTGTACTTAGGGAGTACGAGAGAGTTTGAGTGTGGGACTCAGACTGGGTAGAACAGTGATCTGTTCTGTAGCAAGTTCATTTAGGAACTTGTGAGTAGAGGCTTAATTATAATAGGTTGTAACTTGGTGTTTTCCCTATTATAGTGGAAGTATTTGTGTTTGAAATCCCTAAGGTAGGGTCGAGGTTTTACTTCTAGTTGGGCACTAGAAGGTTTCCTCGTAAAATTCTGTGTGCATTGCAAGTTCCTATTTTGTTCTGTTTTATATTTGCAAAATTAGTATTTAGGAACTCAACTACAATTCACCCCCCTCTTGTAGTGTTCATCTTAATTAACAATTGGTATCAGATCACGGTTCTCACGTGCAAGCAGATAACTTTGCTGAGTAAGTTCCTGGAGAGATGAATTACAAGGAGAAACTTGAAGAAGGATACTCTATCCAACGTCCACCTATGTTCAATGGTAAGTTTTATGCTTACTGGAAGAACAGGATGGAGATATTCATCAAGGCTAAAAATTACCAGGTTTGGCGTGTAATTGAAACTGGTGATTTTGAAATAACTCAAACCAATGACAAACATGAGGTAGTTTCTAAACCCACTTCTGATTATGATAAAGAAGATTATCAGAAACTTGAAATGAATGCGTTAGCTATAAAGTATCTGCACTGTGGACTTGGACCCCATGAACATAATCGTATCATGGGATGCAAGTCTGCCAAACAGATTTAGGATTTGCTACAGGTAACTCATGAAGGTACTAACGAGGTAAAACGTTCCAAAATAGATTTATTGATGTCTAGGTATGAAAGGTTTGAAATGCAATCTAAAGAAACCATAGAAGAGATGTTTACTAGATTCAATGATATTATTAATGAACTTAACTCCCTTGGCAGGCATATTCCTATTGATGAACAGGCAAGGAAGATCTTAAGAAGCCTTCCACAAGATGAACGCTGGAGATCCAAGGTTACTGATATGCAGGAAGCTAAGGACTTCACCAAGTTTAACATGGAACAACTAGCTGGATCATTGATGACTCATGAACTTCATCTGAGTTCCAATACTGAAAGTTCCAGAAATAAAAGTTTGGCTCTCAAGGCTCAAGACTCAGAAGAATCAGAAGTTGATGAGGAAGAGATGGCTATGCTAGTGAGGAAATTTAAAAATATGATGAAAAATAGGAAGTTCGACAGGAACAAGAAGTACACAAGTTCCAGAAATACAACGTGTTTCAAGTGTGGATTAAAGGATCATTTTATCAAAGATTGTCCTGTTCAGGATGGAGAGAAAGGAAAGACTAAAGGCAAGGAGCAATCCAAAGAGTCAAGAGTCTATAAGCCTTACTTCACCAAGGACAATGTTAAGAAGGCTATGTTGGCTGCTTGGGAAGATACAGATTCAGAAGAAGAAGAAGAGGACCAACCATCAGAGGAGACTGCTCATCTGTGCCTAATGGCAAAAACGGATGAAGCTGCCAAACTAAAGGAGCTTGAGGCTGAGGTATGGTTCTCTTACAATCAATTAAAACATTTGTCTAAAGAGAATCTAATAAATACTGTTTTGGAAATTCAAGAAGATTTAAAAGAATTGCATAGATCCAAACAGCTAAGTGATAAAGCTTTGGTAACTTACAAAGAGAACAGTGAATGGGTTGATAACATGAAGTTTGACATTCAATACAGGTTCTTCAGTCTGTTTGATGACAATAAAATTTTAAAAGAGACTCTAGAGAACTTAAAACAAGATAACATACTCTTGAATGTAGAATTGTCTTTGTTAAAACTAAGTGTTGATACTCCTAACTCTGAAGTTCCTCCACCTACTGATTATCCGAATTTTGAAAAATTAAAACATGATTTGGAAGAGTTAAAACGGATAAGGCACGTCTTGAGGGGGAACTTGAGAGAGCTAGGAAAGGTAAATAACCAATAGAGTATAGAGTTCCTGACTGGATCACTAAGGCTCAAACCAAGAAAACTGAAGGTTTAGGTTTTAAAAGGAAGTTCCAGAAAGAAAAGAAGTATGTCAACTTGCCTAGTAGCATTGTTTGTTATTTCTGTGGAAATACAGGACATAAGCAGGTTAAGTGTCCTAAGAAAGAACAAAGCACTCTGAAGAATGTCAAACATGTAGAACAAATCTGGGTTAAGAAAAATGAATCAACTCTTGTTACACAGGAACCCAAGGAAACCTTGGTTCCTGACTCTAACGTTTAATTCTTCTTGCAGGTTCCAGTGAGGGGGAACAACACTTGGTACCTCGACAGTGGTTGTTCTAAGCACATGACTGGAGATAAAACTAGATTTCTCTCACTGGATGCCTATTATGGTGGAACTGTGACCTTTGGTGACAATATGAAAGGTGATATAATTGCTATTGGAAAGATAGGAAGGTCACGTTCCCATGCCATTGATAATGTATTTTTAGTCGAGGGCCTCAAACACAATTTGTTAAGTATTTCACAGTTTTGTGACAAAGGTAACTCTGTCAGCTTTACTTCAAATAAGTGTAGAATCATCCACAATGACACTGGGAACATTATTTTAGAAGGAACTCGAAAAGGGAACACATATGTTGTGGATCTTAACGAGGTTCCTAACAGCAGTTTAACATGTCTTAGTGTTATTGAGGATGATCCTCTTTTATGGCACAAAAGATTTGGCCATGCAAGCTTTTCTTTACTTGATAAACTAAGATCTAAGAACTTAGTGGAAGGACTTCCTTGCATTAAGTTCCTGTATGACAAAGTGTGTGAAGCTTGTGCTAAAGGTAAACAGACCCGAATTTCTTTCAAGTCCAAAAAGATGGTAAGTACCAAAAGACCTTTGGAACTCATTCATATGGATCTCTGTGGTCCAATGAGAATCTAAAGTAGAAGTGGTAAGAAATATGTAATGGTTATTGTTGATGATTTTTCAAGGTTCACTTGGGTTTTCTTTCTTATAAGTAAGGATGAAACGTTTGATGAGTTTGTTGCTTTTGTTAAGAAAGAACAGAGAAGAACAGGTAATCAGTTGATACATCTTAGATCAGACCATGGAACAGAATTTGAGAATTCTAAATTTGATGAATTTTGTGCTGAGTATGGTATGGATCACAATTTCTCTGCCCCAAGAACTCCACAACAAAATGGGGTAGTGGAACGCAAGAATAGGAGTCTTGAAGACATGGCAAGGACAATGCTGATATCAAGCAGGCTGCCTAGGAACTTCTGGGCTGAGGCAGTGAACACAGCATGTTATATACTCAACAGAGTATCTGTTAGGGCCATCACTAACAAAACTCCTTATGAACTTATGAAAGGGAGAAAACCTAATATTTCTTACTTTAGATCTTTTGGTTGCAAATGTTTTGTTCACAATAATGGTAAAAGGGACTTGGGAAAGTTTGATGAACGTTGTGATGAGGCAGTATTCCTAGGATATGCCTCAAATAGCAAAGCTTACAGAGTGTATAATAAAAGAACAATGTGTGTTGAGGAGTCTGTACATATTATATTTGATGAGACTGAAAATTTGGTTGATGTACATGATTGTGATGATGATTTCGAGATTGGACTTGTGCGTAAGCAGAATCCAGATGAGGAACCAGTATCACTGCAGAAGCAGCAAGTTGAAATTGCAGAAGTAACAAGTCTTGAAGCAAATGCTGAACCAGAGTTGGAGAATGCACCAGGAACTCCACTTCAAGAACAGATTGAAAATCATAATGAAGGCCAAAATGTGGAAACTCCTGAAGAAGTTCAACCTGAGTTCCAAAATCAAGTTCCTACAGAAGAACCAGTCAACAATAATGAAGAGAGGTTGTATCCAATCAAAGATTTCACTCCAAGGCCTTGGAAACATCAGAAATCTCATCCAGTTGATGCAATCATGAGTGACATCACAAAAGGAACTCAAACTAGATCTCAGCTTAGGAACTTTTGTGCATTCAATGCATTCCTTTCTTCCATGGAACCTAAAAATTATGTTGAGGCTTTTACTGACGCTGGCTGGATTAATGCTATGCAAGCTGAACTAAATGAATTTGAAAGAAATAAAGTTTGGCATCTGGAACCTAGACCTAAAGACAAAAAGTCCATTGGACTAAAATGGGTATTCAGAAATAAACTAGATGAACATGGTATTATTGTCAGGAACAATGCAAGACTAGTTGTACAAGGTTTCAATCAGCAAGAAGGAATAGACTATGAAGAAACATTTGCACCTGTAGCCAGGTTAGAGGCTATTCGTTTACTTATTGCTTTTGCTGCTTATATGGGATTTAGGATGTACCAGATGGATGTCAAATGCGCATTCTTAAATGGATACTTAAATGAGGAAGTCTATGTGGAACAGCCTCTTGGATTTGAAAATCCAGAGTTCCCAGACCATGTCTATAAGCTTGACAAGGCTCTTTATGGGTTAAAGCAAGCTCCTAGAGCATGGTATGAAAGATTATCTAAGTTCCTCTTGGCTAATGGTTTTAATTGTGGTAAAATTGATAAAACATTGTTTTTAAAGTCAAATGGAACTGATATCTTAGTTGTACAAATTTATGTTGATGATATTTTATTTGGTGCAACTAACGAATCTTTATGCAAGTATTTTGCTGACCTTATGAGTGGAGAATTTGAAATGAGCATGACTGGAGAATTAAACTTCTTTCTTGGTTTGCAAATTAAGCAATCTGAAGAGGGAATTATGATTCATCAACAAAAATATATTAAGGAACTAATCAAGAAATACAAGTTGGAAAATGCCAAAACCAACAATACTCCTATGGGAATTGCTACTAGATTGGATGAAGATCCATCTGGAACTTGCATTGATCAATCTATGTATCGAGGTAATTTGGTAAATAGGAAAAGCACTTCAGGTATGGTACAATTTTAAGGACCTTGTTTAGTTTCTTGGGGTTCCAAGAAGCAAAACACAGTTTCTTTATCTACGGCAGAAGCTGAATATGTGGCTGCAGCAGCATGTTGCTCACAAGTTCTATGGATAAAACAACAGGTCAGAGATTTTGGTATTATTTTTAAATGTGTACCTATTTACTGTGATAATACAAGTGCTATATGTATTTCTAAAGATCCAGTTCAACACTCAAAGGTAAAACATATCCACATTAGGCATCACTTTCTAAAAGATAATGTGGAGCAAGGGAATATTAAGTTAGAATTTTGTCAAACTAAAAATCAAATTGCAGATATTCTAACCAAGCCCTTGAACAGAGAAAGATTTGAAAAATTGAGACTGGAACTTGGGATGATCAAGCTGAAGTACTAGCCTCTGAAGTTCCAAGATATGGCAAAGTCAAAAATATTGTAAATAGAGCAAAAAGAACTTCTACCACAAACTTGGTGTGATAAACATAGCTAAAGTGTCACCGTTGTTAAATACCAAAGGTAAGTTCATTAAATTGCTCAACGGAATAAGTTATTAAATTTGTACATTGCACATATGTAGAAAGCGTGTTCCAATTGTGTTTTATAGAAACTTCATTCAAGATTAATTGAATTTGGAAATTTAAAGTTTTTGAAGGATTCATCCAGTATTTTAAAATTTGAAAAATCAATTGAATTTGTTCAATAAATAACTGAACAGTGAAAATTTCCTAAATTCCCTCACACCGCTTCATTTATTATAAAAGCAATTTTTCACCCACTTCTTTCACCTCACTGTCACATCAATTTACTCCCTTTCAGTAAAACTTTTAAAAACCTCTTTAAAACCTTTCCTAAAGCTTCAATGGTGATCTTTGCTGAATTCATCTCCTCAGAATCATCTCAATACTCTGAAAACACAATTCAAGAAGAAACATCTCCCTTAGCCATGGTGAACTACAAATCGTCCTCTACCTCAAACAAACCTTCTGAAAACCCTAGAAAATCTCCTCCAAAACCAAAAGAAGTAGAAAGTAAAATCGATCAAGAGGAATCCTCTGTCTCAAACGTTCTTCAAAGACTGAAGGAATGGAAGGAAAGAAAACAAAGTGTAAAGTCTCTTGAAGAGCAAATTGAGGAAGTTGGTGAATTTGCTAAAGGGAAAAACCGAGAAGAGTCAACAGAGGAGAACAAAGAAGAAGAAGAGATGAGCGAGGAAGAAGAAGAAGATAAGGAAGAGGAAAATGACTCTGAAAGGGAAGAGTCTGAAAAGGAAGAGGAAGACGAGGAAGTGACTGATCAAGCGGAACTTGAGTCACAGGCTGGAAGGTATGTAGTTGGTCATCGAATTGATGTTGTTTGGTGTAGGAAAGCAAGATTTCTATAATTTCTTGATTTGATTAAGTTTCAGGGTTGGGAATTTCTGTTGTCAAGAGTCTCAGCAAACTATATGTAGCCTGTAGCTATGACTGAATTTTGCCAGAATTTTCAAGCAAAATTAGGTACAATTTCAAGTATGGTCAATGGGGTTAAAATTGAATTGAACATTGAAACCCTAGGTAAAATTTTGAAAACTCCTACTGAAGGGTATGACACCTATGTTAAGGGAAAGGGAAATGTCAATGTGGGTAGTTATTTGACTGGTGACATTGTTGAAGCCCTAGGTGGCCAGAGAGGGAAGAAGGTCATGAGCCACAATGATCTTAGTCCCTTAAACAAGCTATTGTTCAATTTGGTGAAGAAGACAATTCTGCCCAGAACTGCTAAAAAGGGGGAAGCATGTCTATAGGATATGGCAGTGATTTTCTGTATTTCTAAGAAAATTAAGGTTAATTTTCCTTCCTTAATGTACCAGCACTTAGCACATTGTGTTCCTAGTAGGACAAAAGTAGGGTATGGTGTCATTTTGTCCACTATATTTGAAAACGCTGGAGTAGTTCTGAAAGGTAAATATGGGGCTTTGAATGAAAAGCCAGAAAATGTGATTAATGAAGAAACCCTTGCTGGGTTAAGTCTGGAAGTGGTACAAGGAAAAATTAAAGAAAGGAGAGAAAAAGAAAGAGAAAGTGACAGGGAAGAGGAAGGAAAGGGCTGTGTCAGAGCAGCCTGTGAGGAAGAGTAGGAGGATTTCTGCCAGTGGTGTTCCTCAAACTAGTATGGAACAACCACTGGAGTTGGATGTTGAGGAGAATATCCTTGATGGGCAAGTTGCTGAACTGGCTGACAGAATGGAGAGGGTTGAGAGTCAAATGAAGGACTCTGCTGGAAAGCTTCATGTGCTGACTCTGGAAAAGTTGGTACAGGAGCAGGGGAAGGAGTTGAAGGAACTCAAGAGGTTGATGCTCAAACAGA